TAACAGTTAGAATAGGATTTTGGAATACATTATTACATTTTCTGTAATTATGCACAATAAGGAACGCCAAAAACAATGTTGGCAACTATTTAGGCTTCTATATTAGCTTCCAGCTCTTTGTGGCACGTCTGGTTGGAGCTCCCCACGAACACAAGAGAACCTCGACACTTGCAGGGCCTGAATAATTAGAATTGGGTTTTGGGCTCCGTTATAGTATGGTGATAATAAGGAACCCCCAAAATAGTATAATATAGGTAAATATTACGACCCCTATATTACCTAGCAGCTCTGCATGCTCTGCACCGTATGCTCCTTGGGCTATCGACCCCAGCAGGAGCGCAATCAAACAGCGGGTAGCCTTAATCTTCTTGGCCCTTCCCCTGAGCAACCCTGCACCATACAAGATCCGTGCCCGAAAAGCCCCACTCCCACACCCCTAGATCTGAAACCCTACACTTTCAACCTTGAACCTAAAACCCTAAAGCGACAGCAATTTACGCGCTGAACCCTAAAACAAAAAACGCTGAACTTCAAAACTCCATCCCGTCATACCCCCCCTTTGTCTTAGATCCCAAAACCTCACAGCCGAACAAAAACAACTCTGTCCCAAGCAGGTAGGGCCCCTGCCACAGAGGAGGAACACGGGCCGCCGAAGCAACCTGTGCTCAGAAGACGAGGGGCCTGGTAGTAAGGTTTCTGTAGATCGGGTTCTGTCTGTAGCGTTTTTATCGCGTTCTACAGGGGTTGACAAGACTTGTGTAAGAAGTTGCAGAGATTTATTCCAGAGCCTCGGTTGTATCTAGGTTTTTCTTCCAGGCGTCCTTGAAAAGAAGCCTCTTACTACTGAGGGATCTAAGTTTGGGGTCACTCATGTTCGGGAACTCGTATAAGAACAACTGCACGAACAAAACAACTGCAATCAAACACTGGGCAGAACGATGGCAGGAATCAGTTGTGATGGCGGCAACTGTATATAGTCCCTAAACACTAGACCCTAAACCGTTAATAGTAGGACTATGCAAGACTCGTAGCCTTTGGTGATGGCAAGAGAAATCGAGGAAGGAGCAGCAAGGAGAATAACGATGATAACATTCATCATCGTCATCTTCGAAAAAGCCCTATACTGTAGGGGCCTTAATAATTAGACTGGGGATGGGGGTACATTATACTTTTTCTTTCAGAAGGAGCCCCCGAAACAGTATTGGTAACTGGCTAGGGCCCTATTTTAAACTCAAAACCGTTAACTGCAAGAACGGTGAAGCCCAATCCTTTCGTCTACGGTAACCTATGCTTGTGCATAGGGTTTGCATCACGGAAGGAAGGGTGGCTGAATGTTGCACCACTTAACCCGACATGCCCCACTACACCCTCAATCCTAGCCGACCTTCCCAGAACATGAACTTCTCGAAGCTGCCACCGAAAGTCCCAACAGAAATGCGCCGCGCCTCTTGCAGCCAAGTGTTCAGAGCGGCCTCAGATTTCGGAATGCTACACAAAACAGAGCAACTCTAGAGGCCTCTAACTTTAGGGCGTAGGGTTCAGGGTTTGGGGTTTAGGGGTTTAGGGGTTTGGAGTTCAGGGTTTAGGGGTTTAGGGGTTTAGGATTAGGGATCAATCACACTAGGGGCTTGGGAATTTCACACGAGGACCCGGCGGTGGAGAAGCTTCCGGACTCGAAATCCTTGCGCCAGGCCTCCTGACCGGAAGACTCTCTGGTTCTTAGCAGGGAATGGGGGAATGGGTTATTGGGACTACTAAAGGGGACCTTAAGGGACTATCATAGGGATCCATTCCCCCATTCCCTACTAAGAACCAGAGGGAAGAGCCCCAGCAGGTAGCAGTTCGCAGGTCGGGAAGGGCTTTATAGGCCCCCACAAAAAAACAGTAAGACCCTTAACTTTGGGTTCTATATAAACCCTAAAACCCTTAACTTTGGGTTCTATAAACCCTGAAACCCTTAACTTTGGGTTCTATAAACCCTAAAACCCTGAACTTTGGGTTCTATAAACCCTACAATTAAGACCTAATCTGGGCCCCTTGGTCTGCCAACGGGAGGCAGAGTGTGTTTAGGATTCAGGTCTTGTCATGCTGCATCCCTGCTGGCTGCAGGATAAAGGCGCTGGCACCTGCGAAGGGTGGAGTTGCGAAGCCTCGCTGCGTTTAGTCGCTCTATTCGTGTTTAGGGTTAAGGGTTCAGGGTTTAGGGGTTTAGGGTGCAGACCAACTGTGTGCATTTTACAGATCTCACGGAATCCGGAGGACACCCAGAACACGACTTCCAAACCCCAAACCCTATACACTCCCTAAAGCCTTGCCACCCCGAAATCCTGCTGCCAAATCCTCCTGCTCAGACTTTGAAACCTATACAGGTTTAGGTTTTCCTAAGAAAAACACTTGCAGGGTTTACCTATGGTCTTCGTTGCAGTTCTCGTTTCTGGTTAACCAGTTTTATTACTATAGGGCTGTAAGCGTAAGATCAAATGTCTTGATAAAACTACAAACCCAAAGTCCTAAACCCTAAACCCTCTAAGCCCAAAGTCCTACACCCTAAACCTCAAAATTCTGAAGCCTCGTGGGGGAATCCCTTTTCGGCCTGGCTCGTGGGCCCTTGAGCACAGGGCTGGGATGCCCGGACGAGTAAGGACCTGTAGTTTGGGGGGTTTAGGGTGCCTGGGGAGTGCGGTTCAGAATTCAGGGCTAGGGCTTAGGGTTTAGGGTTTAAGGCTTAGGGTTTATAGGGATTAGGGTTAGTAGGGTCACACGGATTACGATTTAAGATTTAAGGTCTAGTGGCTTGGGGCTTAGGGCTTGGAGTCTGAAGGGTCACTTCGGCCTTTTTGGGCTGAAGCCTTTTGGTGGGTTTGTGGATCTCAGGGTTTTTGGGGTGTAGGATGGTTTAGGGCTTCTGTGTGGGCCTTAGGCGCTGCATGGGTAGTTCTCTAAATTAGTGTCCGTTGTGGGCCCCCCAAAATATCAGTTCACCCTTACAGAAAGGAGCTTAACAGGCAGGGACCCTCATTGAACCCATGTAAATTTGGGGGGCATTTCAGGGCGACAGTCTCTGTTGGGCTTGTTCGAGTGCTTGCTGCTAGATTGCACGGCCGGAAAAGGAGTCACTACGGTTTGCTTGAGAACACAAAGGAAATGTGCTGAAGCATCATTTCCATGCTTGGGACTTACTTTCCTCTGCAAAGAAACCCAAAACCCATTGTTATTAATATTATGATAAAAATCATGAAAATTAATATTATTATTATTATTATGAAGGCCCCTATACATGACTTGGACCCGTTCGGAGTGAGCTGCAAAAAACCGACAGCCAGGATCCGTACGCCGTCGGCATCGCCGCCTCCCCCTCGAAGCGGAGCACCACAACCCGCCTCTTGCAAGGCGGGCTGGAAGGCTTTAGGGTTTAGGGTTTAGGGTTTAGGGCTTTATGCAGCTTTTTTTGTTTTTGTGGGGTCTATCAGAGTTTAGGGATGTGTAGCTGTAGGGTTGAGGGCCAGCGCTGTTTCTGGAGCATGATGTACTGGAGATAAACGTGTCAATGAAAAATAATTATAAACAAAATCCTCGAGTGCTGTTGGAGATCCATGCTGAAAAACGAGCTTTAAAGCTGGAGTGCCACACGCCCTTCGGTTTAGCGTAGCATTTACAACTGTTATGCTTTCAAACACCAAAGCAATGGCCCGACATTAAGAAGATTATAACTCTCGGTTCGACGAGAATTCTCCTCCTAATCAGGTTACCCACTCAACCCTGCGGGCGTTGCAAAGTTCATCCCTTTGTCTGTTTTGGTTCTTGGGCAAGAGATCTCCTTCTTGCTGTGAAGCTGCCAGAAGAATTTGTGGTGTAGGGCTCAAGTTTAGGGCTCCCGGTTGCAGTTTAGAGCTTACCCTCACACCTAGTAGTAAAGCCTAAGTCAAGCTCACACCCTACATCAACCCTGAACCCCCAAAGTAACCCCTCCTTGGCCCGAAATCAAGCCAAAACCATGAAGACCTTTTCTTTTGGCGTAAACCCACCCTACATTCTAAATACAGCCCAATCCTAGCTAAACGCCCCCCTTAGAACAGCCCCCGGGTTCACGACCACGGCCTAGGCTGCAGGAGCCGCTCAAGTAGTTGCAGCCTCGCTCTGCTCCAGGGCATAGCCAGATGGGGTTTAGCGTTTAGGTATACTGCATAGCAAAGCCTGCTCGTTTCGATAGTAGATACTAAGATACTACGCTGCATTTATCCGATCTTTAGCCAAGAAAGGCCGCAACTGCAGGTGATGGCAAACATGGATAGCCTAATCCCTATCATAATAACTACTCTGCATGTGAGCACCAACCATTGCACATCCAACCGGACCAACTGAAGTGACAACTGCCTCTTACTGACACATTTGGCCCGGATCAACTTCGTCTAGAGTCTATAAATCGAACGGGCGTGGACTTCGGCTGAGGCCACGGCAGCTGCAACACTGAGCCCAAGCGGGTGCCATACCTGCTGTGGATACCGCGACATATCAAGGCCACAACCAGTTGAAGAAACGGTAAGTGGCACAGAAACACACAGTTCCCGAACGGTCGTGCTTGGGAAGCGCATGGCGCAACCCAGAGGGAGGACTACCCACAGGGAGGGCTACCCTGAGGAAGGATTTGCCTGAGGGAGGACTAATGCGGCACTGTCCTTTGTTCGCAGGATATGACGTGAAAGACTATGCAAGAACCGAGACGAACGAAACACTGCAAACCTATTCCTCTCATCGACAGAGCTTCGCGGAGTGGCATTTTGGCTTGGGGTTCGGAAGGCTAGGGGGTCCTGGTCCTGAACTAAGAGCAACAGAAACACACAAAAACACTCCCACACCCACCCCCCGAGTCACACGTAAAGAGACAACAAAAATAAGGGAACAAACAAGCGGCAGTCTTGGCGGTGACCAAGGCAGGCAAGGAAGACCCGACTTTTGCGGCTTGCTGCGTCGCCTGCCAGGCGAAACCTCAACCAGGCAAATCATCGCTCGCGGCCGCGCTGGTCCCTGTTGATGTCTCTGCGAACACGATTGTCGCTGTTTGCAACTGCATGAGCAGAGATGTCCACGTTGCCTCGCAGGCTTTCCATTTCGCGTAGAATGTAGCCGGGCTCGGCGCAAACAGCGCCGGGCAGGCTTGCATGAAAGTCCGTCCAATCCATCCAGAAATCGCTGCGCCGTCGGAGGGTCCAGCTGTTGGGTTGGCTAGCCACAGCTACCTTCCAGCCGCTGTGGTGCACATCCAGAATGACCTTAGCAAAATCTGAATCGTCCGAGATGATGCACACAGTGCCACAGGAGGTTTCTGCTGATATGGGAGCCACTAACCTCAGCAGATCACGCACAAGGAGGCAGTCAGCAGCTTGTGGCTCTGCAGGCGTGATAGTCACGGAAGCAGGACTTTGCTCTTCCGCCCCGTCATGGACCAACTTCATGCGGACCCCATGGGGTGCCTTTTCTGTGAAAGCCTCCAGAAACTCATGCAAGTCTTGCGACCAAGCACTCGCAAGTGCCGACTGAAGGATGTCGTAGTCGTGCCGGCCCAGGAATTTCACAGTTTTGTAGCTCGCATACAGGTGAACGGCTTGCGGGCCGGTGCGGAGGAACCTCTCCTGAAGTGCGGCTACGGCAGTTGCCAAGCTGACATCTGGCGGCAACTTCCTTCTCAGGCTCAAACTCTGAACCGTCAAGTTTAGGGCTTGATGGGATGTGGGATTACAGTATAGGGTTTCGGTCAGAAAATATTGGAGCAAGCTAGAAGCTCTAAACCCATGCCCCACTATTTCGGCCTCTACCTATAGGGTTACCAAATGTAACATTGGTGAAACCCGAAAGAGGATCTAAAAAATGAGACCCTAGGTACTTTCCTCGTGCAGCAAGGGGTCTTGTTGTCCAAGTCCCAGAAGACAAAGATCGGCCCAGGGGGATCCTGAAACAGAAAAAAAGGCAAAGCAACATCAGAAGAATCAGGATCAGGGTTTACGGTGTAGCAACAAAACAAAAGGCAAAGCAACATCAGAAGCATCAGGATCAGAGTTTAGGGTTTAGGGTTTGGGGGTCTATGCAAAAGTCTTTGGGGTATGACTGGGCGCACTGCCACTTGCCATGGCTTCTAAAATTGGGCTCCAGGGAAGGTCTAGAATCTTCTTTGAAAAAGCCTCGTGGGCTCTCTGAAGCTACCTATCTGGCTGGTAGATATTGAAAAAGGAGAAATTGCCGTAGTTAGGGCCCTTCGGAGGATCCTGCATTGATTGAAGCAGCCCGCACTTGCACATCACTTTCCCAAGCACGCATACACCGCGGTTCGGCGCTTCCCACAGTCTCTCAAAACTACTGATTCTTCTGTAGGGTGCAAGGGTTGTCATTGAACTGCCGCTGTCACCAATACATTTGCCTCCTCCTCCGGATCAGTCGATGGGATCGAAGCCTCCTGGCTGCGGCTGTCGTGTAGTACCCTAAAAAGTCTTGGAAGTCTGAAACACCCGCAGCTTTTCTGGGAAGGGTGGGTATCTTCAGTTGGCTCCAGCTTGGTGTTGGAGGTGACAAGTAGATCGCATGAAATACGAAACTATAGCAAGAAGACGTAGTGCTTTAACAGCAATTATAGAACTGAGCATCTCCGGCAAACTCCTTGAGATGCTACAAGCTTACCGATGAAGTCTTCGGGCTGATGTCAAAGCTTCCCCGCAGCAGCTGAGCTTAGATTCGTTCCCTTTCCGAAGGGTTGAACACTGAGCCGCTGAGCTTGCATGTCAAACGGCCTTTGTAGTGTCTGCGAAACGACTTCGGCGCCGCCGCCGGGCGTGCCTGCAAACCCTCCACCTGACAAAAGCTGTAACAGTTCTGATGATGATGACACCAAAATGAAGTCTGTCACCAGCTGCCCACTAGCACCAACACCACTGCGCGCACCACTGCTGCAAGCAGCCGCAGCATGGTCATGATCATCATGGCAAAAACCATAATAATGATCATAATCATCGCAATCGTAATCCTAATTGTTTTGATCATAACTAATCATAACTCAGAACCATAACCGTCGTCATCGTCATAACCGTCAGCAGCATCATCATAACCAGTGTCCTTACCATTGTCGCCATGTTCACTACCGTCGTCATCCGCACCGTCGTCCGCCGCATCAACACTACATGAAGACCGTTGCGTGTAAGCCGGCTGCACTTCTCAAAGCATTTCCTTCAAGCTTAAACTTTAGGCTGTTGTGGATTGCTATACTTAAAAGACACGAAGCCCAATAGTATCGTTCATCAATCGGAGCAAGCGGAAACTCTGACATGGATAGGAACGCATGTGTCATTTGCTCTGGGCTTTGCTTTCAAGTGCGTCTGCAAGCATGTAGGCCTGTGCTGTAAGCTTTCCGGAATCCATTCGGGCGCAATCAACAACCGCACGCATTGGCTGAACTCTGCCTTTGCTAGAAGGCCGGGCCCAAATCTAGAATCCACAAGCTTAAACCCCAATGCGAAACCCATAACCCCCAAACCGTGAAACACTGAATACCTGAACCTTAAAACCCATATACAGTCCAAGCCCACACGCCGAAAGGCGAAACCCCTTGCACTCCCAAAGCCCCCAAACCCTTTAGGCCCTAAATCCCCCAAATTACGAAACCCCCCAAACCCTTGAGGCCCTAAATCCCCCAAACTTCGAAACACCCCAAACCGTTGAGGCCCTAAATCTCCCAACTTTCGAAACCCCCCCAACCCTGCAGCGCCCAAAATCCAAACAAGAAAAACAAGGCACCTGAGCCAGGCCCTCCGTGGAAGCGCCAGGGAGGAGCCGAGACCAGAAATTGCAGGAAGGCTCCGGAAATCTCCAAAAAGGCCCCAAGGAGTCTGAGGCCTTTCCTGGTAGAAGGTTCGGCTCAAGCCCGGAGAGGCAGCTGTAGCTCGAATTCCATGGGCTTTCATGAGCTTTCGCTTTGTGTTGGTGTTGGGATGGATGAAAGATTTAAGATGTCGGTTAAAAGGGTTCAGAGCTTTGGTTGGTGAACTTGTCATGAGCTGATATTCAGCATCGTGAGAAGCCTTGAAGCTTGTAAGCGCGATGCTGACAGCTTCAACCCTAAACCTCAACCCTACACCCTAAACCCCAACCCCTAAACCCCAAACCCTAAAGATTTGCTAGTTGCTAGTCAACAGCTTTCCGCGGAGCCACGGAGACGGGCTAGTCTTATCACTATTTATAACGTTAGACGTCATTTGCGCTTTTTAGTAAACTCAATAAGAACGAGACTATATACCGGACAGTATAACGGATACTATGCCGGTTGCAATGCTGCATGAGCTACTACATAAGAGCTACTATGAAGGTTCCTGTAAGGGTTACGACAAGGCATGATGCGGGAGAATACTGCCAGCAAGACAGAAGGTGTCAAGGAACACAACGCATGGAAAAGCAAAACCCTGAGCTGCGATGAGCGGCGGACTTGCTTCTCAGATGTGCCCAAAAGCGCCTGGGCAGTCGAAAGCAACTTCGCGTACATCCTAGAGTCCTAGAATAGAACGCCTGAGACTTCGAAGCACTTTTTTAGACTTCTCCTATATTGTTATTATGCACAATTGCTTCGGTGTTTGGGTCTTCGCGCCCATCGCAGGAGCAGCAACGGTGCGCCTTCATGAGCTCTCGTGACACGGGCTTTCCGAATGCAGAATGCATCAAAGTACAACCCATAGAGGCGGGCATCAAGGGATGCTGGCCTTTCGCAAATCTAGTTTTCAAGTGATTCAACTTGCAACTGCAAAGGTGCAAAGTCCCAGGGAAAAGGTCGATGCACTCATTGTCGATGCCTTGCTTGTGAGGCAAGTACGCTTCTCTTAATACCTACCCTTAACCCGCTGCCCAGCTGCATTGAGAGTTGTGCTGGACAAGGCCGACTGACTGGAGGTCGTAAGTTTTGAGGCTGGAACTTGGGCTTACATAGGGTTTCGAGCAACGCTCTAATGTTGCTTTTTACGATAATCTGACTCATCTTCCTTACGACTTTTTCCCACTATCGTCGCAATTGTCACAACTGTCTGCGTTTCAGAGGAGCAGGAAGGATTCGGCAGCAAAGCAGGCAATTGATTCTCACCATGGTCAAAGCCCTGGCTTGCAAGTATGAACATGCAGAACCGTGCCTGAACCGAAAAACCTAAAAGCCTCAACCGAGACAGTTGGGGCTTTCCGAAAATAGGGGACCCTAATATAGTACCCTAAATAGTAGGATCCTTATTATAAGAATCCCAAAATAAAGTACCCTCTTCTTTTCGGAAACGCCCATTTAAATTTGCAAGTCACCTTCCTCTGGGCCAGGCACGCAGGGCTCAGGGCGTCTGCCATCGGATCCCTGGCGATGTTCCACTGAACAGTGCAGATTAATCTAGGAAGCTGATTAGGGAACCCCGGTTCTTCATTAGGTTCTGTAGATCAATCCTAATTATACTATCTCGGGATTCTAGCGCCAGGGTTTCTCAATCAACACAAGGGGAACTATAATGCGCTGCTATGAACAGGCGTCCGTACACCGCCAGCCCTTCGCGATGTACCCCGGCGCGAAAGACACTAAAGTACCGATGATGCCAGTACGCTGAAGGCACGGAGCTACGAGAGCCCTTTTCCCCACATGAGCCTCGGATGTGCCAGATCGGTCTCGAGTCCCCAGCCGGCAGCTTTCTACACCCAAAGCGAATCTGAAAGCTCAAGCCCAAACAAATGCAGCAACGCCGTAAAGCATTACATAAATCATCGCCTTGGCGTGGACGGCGAAGCAGTGCCCTCATCCGCGGAGGACTCCCCTTGTTGTAGGCGGACCACTGGGGTTCTCAGGCTTGCGAGGAGGAAGTGCAAGAGCAGAAGTGGCAGTGATGTTGCGGATGGTAGTCGCAGTAGTGGTAGGGGTTACAAGTAGTGATGGTAGTGGCGATGGGGCCAAGAGATATGGGAGTAGCAGTAGTGGTCGTCGTTTCCGTGGTCGTTCTGGCAGAAATACGAGCACTGGTGGTACTGGCAGTGCCGGTAGCACTCGTAGTACTGGTAGTGCTTGTAGTACTAGCAGTACTGGTAGTAATAGTGTAGTAGCGTAGTAGTAGTAGTAGTAGTAGTAGTAGCAGTAGTAGCAGTAGTAGGAGTAGGAGTAGGAGTAGGAGTAGGAGTAGGAGTAGGAGTAGGAGAAGGAGTAGCAGTAGTAGTAGTAGTAGTAGTAGCAGCAGCAGCAGCAGCAGAAGCAGCAGCAGTGAGCGGCAGGAATGGTAGCTGTAGCATTGCTACTCTTGCAGCTGTTGTCGGAGTACCATCCTGGCGAGTTCTAGCTGCAATGCGCACTGGCAGTCTTTCGAAAAACTGTCAGAGTCACGGCTCACACACACACACACACACCTGTCTTGCAGTTACAGCTGCATTTACATTCTTGCTGCTGTTCTTCTGCGCTCGAACACTCGCAAACACAGTGACAGTAGATTGCCCGTGCAAGGCCCAGGCCGTTAGGATGCCCAGTTTCACCACTGAGGATCCTCTGCGTCAGGATCTTGACCTGAGCCTGGCACATCAAGGGACCAATGAGCACTGCGCTACCACTACCGCTGACTGTGTGACTGCGACTACTACTCGTACTCCTCCTACCACTTCTACCATGGACCACTGCTGCGACCGCAACAACTCCTCCTCCTCCTACTACTGCTAC